CATCTCATTTCCTTTCAGGTTCCCTCCATACAGTTTCTTTAATGCTTTTAAAAGGTGCTTTCACTCAGTCAGCTGCCAGAGATTTTCAGTGGTACACTTGTAACTGGGCAAAGGGGACAAGTTATTTTTCCGCTCTGAGGCCACGAAGTAAATCCGTGAAAAAGTCAGTCACTTTTACAACCGCCTGACCAGGAATTACTTCTTTTTTTTTAATCTAATATATGATTCACTCAAAAGACCTCAGCACAGTTACCTGCAATGAGATTTTGTTACAAGCTTAGTGCCAGTAATTGACTGTTGGTTAGCTGATTGATGTCTCTGGTGGGAATCTAGTCACCCTACAGGACTTTGTGAACACCAGCTGTCAAAGTTGACCAATCATAATAGCTCTCTCCATTCCAATGTTAATGCGACTGGGTGGAGCATTGTTTGAATCAGTCAATTTGGCATATAAAAGAAAAAGAAAACCATAATCACAAAAAAAAAAAAACTTAATAGACTATGCTTTTTCTGCTTAAAACAAATGTAATGGCTATATTTATTATTATTTTTTTTTCATGGGCTACATCGACACAGTTAATTGTAAAAAGCGTTGCATTTAATAAATTTATTTTCAAATGTTTCATGTGAGGAAGAAAGAATATTGAATAGTCAAAGTCTGTAGAGAATATTTAAAATAATAACGACTACCAGTTCAACTGCAACAAACCAAATGTTTTTCTTTTATAATACTAAGCTTCATGTTTCATACATTTACTTGTGTCATATACCTTTGTTCATTTATTTTAAGATGAGCTAGGATAAAAAAAACAACAACAGTATAAGTATAATACGTGAAATCCTTGAAGTTATGACTGTTAGAGAAGTTCTAATGGTAAGACTTTTAAGTTTTAAACAGTTTACTCAATGCAAAAGTATTTCTGATCATAGTTATTTTTTTTACTAAATGGGTAATCCAAAAGCAAGCAGTAAGATTAATGTAAATTAAGTCTGATAAGTTTGCATTAAAGCTACAGTGTGTAATAATTACAGGGATATACAGTCAGAAATGTAATATATTAAACATAACTATGTTATTTATCATCATCTACGAGCTCAGCCTCTTAACCTTAATATTTGC